TCAGGTAGTGTGAGTGTCGAGAGAAATAAGTATAAGTAAAAAACCTCACCTCAGAGTCAGACACAGTTGTGATGACGACTGAGGTGGGAAAAATAAGGTTTGCGGTTTATATACTAAAAACGGGTGGCTTGGAATAAAGACTAGCAAATAACGGAAGTATATGTAGGAGGGATAAAAAGGAAAGAGTGATCGGAGTGTGCAAACGAAACGTACGCGTAAACAAGGAAGGTCACGAGGTGTCTCTTCTAACAGTTACTAATTCCCGTATTCACCTAGAATCTATTCCATAAAGTAGTATCAGTAATTCTCAACAAGAAGCTTCAAAGCCGCCTCCTCATCAAGCCCATCACTCATCTTCTCCTTCAACGTCTATCCAACAGAAACGGCCCACAACAATCAGTCCTCTTGAGCACAAAAATCAACGCAGAAACCGCACCTTATTAACACTCAAATACCCCGTAACGAACGCCTCCCCAAACGCCTCCCCAAGCACCGCATCACTTCTAAACGCCTCCCATGCCTCTTCCCAATTCAATGGCAGCCTCTCCGTAATCCCATACCTCGCCCTCTCCTCCTCCCCCATCTCCGCCGCCGTCTTCCCAAGTTCTCCATGGGCACTACAATCCCTCATCTCAAGTGCCCTATTGATCTTCACACCATCCTCCACGCCAGCCGCTATAAGCCCCGCAAACGCCAAATACGGATTCGATGTCCCATCTACGCATTTCACTTCAAAGTTCCGGGAAGCGGGAGAGGTGGCGTTACATAGCCTTATTGGAGCTTCGCGGTTATCGGTCCCCCAGCAGACGTAGGTGCCCCCTGACCAGGCACCGTCGACCATGCGTTTGTAGGAGGCGCTGAGGGGGAGTGTGAGGATTGTTAGGGAGGGAAGGTGGGCGAGGAGCCCAGCTAGGAAGGAGGCTTCGAGGGATGTTAAGTTTGGTGAGGAAATGGAAGGGGAGGGTGGGGTGGAGGAGTGAATGGATATATGCGTGTGCGCTGCGCTTCCGCCTGTGTTTGTGGTTTAGTCAGATAACGGAAAGGTAGAGAGGAGGGAAACGTACAGCTATCCATATAAACCCTCGGAGCGAATGTAGCCCTCAACCCATGTTTACTAGCAACGTTGTAAATCGTCTCCCTCGTATGCACAAGCGCGTCCGCCGCCTGAAGTGGTCCCAGCGGCCCCGTAACAACTTCATATTGT